TGTACACACAGCATGTCAAACCTAGAAGCAAACAGAAGATCAGACCAAGTGTCACTCTTGTCAGCTAAGAAAAGCAAACTGAACCAGCTTTTTGCAACAAAATTGTACAATAGATTGTCTGGTCTGATAAATTTCTGCTGAAACATCAGCAGAAGAAAGCATGAATCCATTCTGTCTCGTATCAACGGTTCAGACTGCTGCGGGTGCTGTAGGGGAGATTTTCTTGGCACATTTTTGGCCTATTAGTACCAAGTGTGCATTGTTTAAATGTCACAGTCTTTGCTGACAATGTCCTTTGCTTTATGACTGTGGTCTGCTCATCTTGAGATGACTACTACCAGCACTGTCACAAAGCTTGTGACTGGTTTCATGAATATGACAGTGAGTTCACTCTCCTCAAATGGCTTCCAGTGACCAGATCTCAAAAAATAGAGCACGTGCATCATGGATGTTCAGCAGTCAAATTTGCATCAAGTGTGACAAACATCAAAAAGATTTTTTGTTGAATTTATGCCCAAAAAGAATGAAGTGGTCCTGGTACAAACAAAGTGTACCTAATAAAATGGCAAGCGAGAGTATATCAGATTAATAAATACCAAATTAAATGGAAATTTGTTATTTGTTTAATTTAATTACTTTTTACACAACATGTACTCAAAGGAAAAGCAATCCTTCATAGGTTGCACAAATTTCCTTTTCATTTTAATTCAATTGACCACTGACTTAACCAAAACATTCTGTCTGCCTATAAAATTTAATTTCACTTGATATTAAAAGTTTCATTTAATTTAAAGTTTAAAACAGGTAAGCAATGTCTGTTACCAGGCTATATTTACTCAGCTGTATGGAAAAATGTGTGAATTATTAATAGACAGCACTCTTGGAAGATTTAGAAAATGAAAGAAACGGAATCTACCTCTTCTCATTACAGCTCTTTATAGCTTCACAGATATGGACATATTCACTGCTGAATAATCTATAAATTAAAAACATACCCACCAAATGATCAGCTTGGCTAATCAATCAATCTATTTCTAGTTTGTGTCCTATTAGAAAGGCCATGCCCACACTATGCTTTAATTTACAAATGCATAATTTGTAATAATGCAACATTTTGGTCTTTAAAACTTCTAAAAAATCTTTTTAATAATGTTCTCCAAAGTAGGTAAATTTAAAAATGCTGTTTTGTGTCAGCATGACAATAGAGGTTTTCAAAATCAATAACACATTTTAGTCATATGACTAGAGATGCACGATATATTGGTGGCCATATCGTTATCATCTGACATTATCGGCATGATGTCAAAATTAGGCCAATATCTTTTTAATTAGGCCGATATTTATAGAGATCTACCTGCATCGCGCATGCGTGGGTAGAACTTGCTCAGAGTTGTCCAGTGCACTATAATGGAGCTTTCCTCACATTAAATATGTTTCTATCCAAATATGCGAATTAACTTTGTGCGCAAAACTGAAATATCGCATAAAAGACGCGCAAATAAAGCAGCGTTTCCATCCAACGAGTCAAAGGGAACAAAATTGTCACTACCTGATTATCTGGCGCCAAATATCAACAGTAAAAACGGAATTCGCTGTGATAAGAGAAGCTGTGTGAATCTTTTCTTCATATAATAAATGACTTGCGCCTCAGAAGACAATCCTGACATGCAATGAATGCACGGTGGTGTTTGAAGGCCTGAGATGCGGAGCACATCGCTCTTGATTCTGGAGGTCGTTAATAATATAATGACACTAATACTGAAACGGTTAAGGCAGTTTAGAATGACCAAAACAACATTTCAAATGTTGTACAGTGTGCTCAGCCTGCAGATTTGTCCGTTTGCACACATTTTTACCATCACATGATCTCTTATAACAAAATCACATGACTTTTTTAATGTGCATACCGAAATTTGTTTGGTAAAAGTGTTTCTATCATCGTTTATGCACATCTTTTCTTATCGAATAAAAAGTTTATCCTACTCAGTTATGCGCATGTCTTTTATGTGCATTTACAACATTTTGCGCATCTTGGCATTTCCATCAATCGTTTTTTTTTTTGCCATATCCAAAATGCTCATAAAAACTGGTGGATAGAAACATAGCTATACCCAGTTTATTCCTTCAAAGTTCGTAATTTCTTTGTGTGGTTTTGTTGTTTGTTAGTAACCATATTCCTTTTCATTGTAGATATGTTTAATAGAGTGTCATTGTGTATTTAGGCTTAATTCGCCTAAGGAAAAATATTACATGTGTAAACATAATAGCAGAGATGCACATGTGCTAAACAACTGGTTTGGGTTGTTTGTAGTCTAATATAACTGCTATTATCAACACGTTGCTTTCCATGTGTTGTTAATGTAAGAATGAATGTATTCAATTTGATCTGCATATTTACAATGATTATAACGAGCGCATGTGATGGCTATTACCACGCACACACATAGTGAGCAGATAGAGCCTTCATAGCATCCCAAACAGCAGCAGAGGAGACGTGTGCAAGTCACTGAATCCAGCATAGGGGTTCTCAACTGTCTGCCACATTCTGTCTTTTCATTATGCACTGTGTTTGTCATAATCAATGCTCAGGTGTTCAGGTGTATCAAAATCTGACTCCGAGGACAAATCTTCGCTAGGGATGGGTATTCGTAAAGGTTTTACTGCTATTACTATTTTTATCTATACCACTTATCGGTTCAGTACTTTAACTTCTCTTGTTACTTTTTGTAGTGATTTTTTTTTATGAAATAAAAAAAACTAATTGAACAGATTTAGCAACACTTTGCTTTATTATTACGTTTGTAATATAAAATAAAACTACACCAATAATTGTAAAACAAATAAATCATTTTTTTCCTTTATTGGAATTGGTATTGTTTGAATATTTTCTTAATAAGCATAGATTATTATTAGACTATTCATAGTCTATATATGTAAATACAGCTGATGTAAAAGTGCTTTTAATGTTTAAGATTTATTTAGAAAAATAAGTACTGTTTTCATTGTAACCGAATGTGTGTTTAATTAACTATTAATTTTATACTAATTTAGGTGATTGACTGCTGACATAACGATGTGGATGATGTAACGTTACAGTTAGCTAGGCAGTTTAAAACTATTCAATACTTCTCATTGCAATTAATGCACTTTTGAAAGATTTTTGAAAGTTTAACTTAGCCAGACTGCTTGTGTTTCCACTTATACAAGAAAAAAACTTGTTGAAACAACTGTGAAGGCTTTTATATTTGACACGCTGGCTGGAAACACAAGCATTTCTCATGTGAGACTGCCAACTGTGCAGAGGAATATCAAATATCGCAAATTATAAAAGGTTGGTCAGTTAAATTATGCTATTGTAGGTCAAATTTATTCAGCCATAATTCTCCAGTACCGATAGCAAAACAGTTAACGTCAGAGCTTATCGATACTTCTGTCTTATATAATGTAGCAGTGAAACCGATAAAGTACAGAGTTTGGTTACCCATCCCTACACTCCGCGTGCACACACATCACACAGCGCCTGCAGCTAAAATTTCAAACTCACATCAGTTTATCATAAACCTTTTATTGATCATTTTTCTCACAATTGACAGCAAGAACAAACGGTATCTGATTGATAAGCAGCACCTACATGTGTTCAAAATAACCTAAAACGCCAAATGGGATGAATTCATGCTGCATTTTATAAGTAAAACATACTTGTCTATTTAATTTTCCGATTGTACGGTGGCTCTGAACTGTCAAAACACCTCTCAAAATGCTTTTTCGGACATTATGTATATTACTGTAACACGTTCAAGAACATTTGATCTGGTTTCAGTTCTTAGTTCTTTCATTGTCATTTTACTTAAAATGTATTTATTTTACTTCTTTGTTAGTTAAACCCCATTTTGTTTTTTAACCTCTTATTTTTATGCAACAGTCAAGTTGCATGTTAATTTGCTGTGCAAAGAAAAGGAAATAATTTATTTTTGGCATGCTAATTCATAGGTCTATAATCACCTTGCAAAAGTTCAGATCAACATTTTATGAAGTTTTAGTGTAAAATAAAATCAGTTGTTTACTGTATAAAAATATAACATTTTTAAAAATCCATATCGGTGCATCCCTGCATTTGACCAGTTCATCTAAAATGATGGAAGACATTATCCAGCAGTTGTTTGTCATGCTCATGTTGCTACGCTGTTTCAATAAGCCAGAAAGTAAATAAACGGCAGGTAAAAATGACACCAGTCAAAGCATCTTATGTCTTAACGCATGTGCAGTTCAAAAAAATATTTCTGCAGCTTGTTCAAATTAATCATTTAAAATAAGATGAATTAACAAAATTCTTGTGTTTTTTGGGTGAGGAACTTAACCGTTTTGTTTTCAGTTCCTTTAAATAACTTAAAACCGGGGTCACTAATCTCAGTCCTGAAGGGCCGGTGTCCCTGCAGGTTTTAGCTCAACCTCCTCAACACACCTGCCTGGATGTTTCAATTATACCTAGTAAGACCTTGATTAGCTTGTTCAGGTGTGTTTGATTAGGGTTGGAGCTAAAATCTGCAGGACACTGGCCATCCGGGAACAAGTTTGTGACCACTGACTTAAAAGATCCTTTGAAAACTTCATTGATTTGATTTAAAGTACCATGACGGAATTGTGAAAATGTTTTCTGTTGTTTCAGTCCGGATAAATTTCAGGAGACTACTGAAAATTAGATTTTATCCGGCTTACTGTACATGTAGTCAAAAACATATGCTCACCAAACAGGTCCCACGACACATCTAGCACGGTCAAATCCAGTCAAACCTTTACACTGACAGACTGACAACAGCTATTCAATCCCTGTCTGAAAAAGCCAACTAGCACTCAGCAACACAGACAAGAATAATCTGCCAAACACAGAAATGACTCATCCATTCAGCATTAACATTTGGAGGGATTCCTGTAAATCACTGCTAAGAGCTTTAAAGCAAATGGTAATAGTACAACATCAATTACTGAAAAGAGTGGTTCACCTGTAGGCGTCCGTCCAGCGTCCTCTGGATGGTCACGCACTTGCTGGGATGAACTCCGTTGGTAGTAATGGCGGTGATGAGGGAGTCCAGTTCATCTTTCTTCTCCTTCAGTTTCTTGACCAGACTCTCGATGGCACGCTTGGCGAAGCCCTCGTTTTCGCCACCCTGCCGGTGGCACATGAGGCTGTGCACGATACTGAGGCAGGCGTCATTACTGTTGGGAGGGTTCACGGACATCCTGCTGCTCTGACAGATGGAAAACAGAACAGCAGCATCAACACACACAACTCTTGCACCCTGCATCTAGCATACTAAAATACAGCCAGAACTATTGGTTAACAGAAATTGCTAGAACAGTAGAGTCTCTATATACAGTGCCTAAAGAAAATCATAATGTCCCTTTGAAATAATTACTTTATTTGTCACAAAGCCTGAAATTAAATCACATTCCAAATAACTTTTGCAGATTTTGAATTCAGCTTTATTGTGAAGGTCTTTTGAAAGCAGGGTATAATGGGAGTAAAGGTATAGATTTTCACAGCTTATAATTATTTTCTATAGGCACTGTATTAGGGCTGTGCAATTAATCAAAATCAAATTACAATTTTAAACATTTGAAAAGATTCTACAATATGAAATACGCATGTATTATTTAATTTCCCCTGCCCAGAGCAAATGCGTGACAACAGGTGTCCTCACATTTTATCCTACCTATCAAATTATGCTACCAACACTGTATTTGAAAGGTTCTGAGATTAGGGTAAGGGATTAGGTAGGTTAGGGCAATATTACAGTAGCTTAATATCACACTAATCTACATTAAAATTTACACTGGTAGCATTGATGGGTGGCATACTATGTCATCAAATTGTGCTACCTACTTTTTGAATAGAAGGACAATCTGACAAGGTAGGACAAATCGACAGAACACCAGTTGTGTGTGACAGCCATACTAGCCAATTGAGTAAGCATATACAGTATTTGTTCTTCCAAATCTTGAGCAACCTAACTACACCCACAATAAAACAAAAGAAAACAAACAGGAAATCGCTTGCAAGTGGGGTTATGGCTTCTGCTGCTTCAGAAGCATTAATAGACAAATTAATATCAAAGAAATTGTAATGAGGGAATATCTTGGTTTCAAAGTTACAGACACTGAACAAACACAGGTAAATTTATAGAGCTGTTGCAGAATTGTTGCCGGCTTACAGATTATTGAGCTGAAGCTTGACTACAAAATTAAATCGTAAATCACCATATCTGTCAAAGAAAAGAACTTTATTAGATATTTTCCCCAAATCGCACAGCCCTACACTGTATATTATAGTTGAACACCAATACAGACTGCTTGTCAAGACTTGTAATTGTGCTCAATAAACTTTTAATTATGCTCAACTTTCTTTCAAGTCTACTGGTCTCAAAGAGTTGGTTCATCCCAAAAAATCTGTCATCATTTACTCATCCACATGATGCTCCAAAACCATAAGACCTTCATTGATCATCAGATCAAATCAGAAGAAAGATATTTTAATTAAACTTTGGAGATTTTTAATCCTGTCACTGAAAATCTATTCACCCAAAACTTTGACAATTTAATATTTTTAAAGCATGTTTAATTCAAGCATTCTATATGATGGACAGATTTTTTTTTATTCACATGTTTTATTGAAAATAAACCAAAGTTTATCAATGCATGCTGAATGTATGTACAGGAAAACTTTGATGTTTTTGCACATCAAACTGACTGGCTTGGCATTGTGTGACCTTCGGTGCTGTAAACAGTGTTTCAATGTTTAAGTCTAAAATAATCTTTTCAACATGTTTGAATGTTTTTTCAGAGAAAATCAAATCATCAGGAGGATTTAACCCCTTCATTCATATGATTTTTGTATCTCTTTAGAAATATTTTGAAGCTTTGGGCAAACAGTATTTTTTACCCTTTAACTGCCCCACCAAGAAAATACATTTGGATTGCATTTCTTTACTCCTAGTGTCCCTAGTGAACAAACTCAAAGCATTTTTTTTCAACACATCCCATAATTTCTAAAATATCAACCTCTACCAAATGGTTGATAAGTCGGTTTATGGTAAAAGTACCTGAATTAATACATATACTATGAAAAATCTGAAAATATGAAGTGTAAGTTTGAATTTAGTATTCAAAATAAAACATTTTCGAATACTAAATCAACTTTATTATTTGAAATATGCCATAAAATATTTTAGATTCTCATTTAAGTGTCTCATTTAAGTGTCTCGTTCTCATTTAAGTATCAAGTGTAGTAGTGCAACAGGATTATGCTCGTTTATTTTTTGTTAACCAACAATGCTGTGTAGTGTACACCAATATTTAAAAGTCATTCTTTACATGACATTATCAGTCATTATTTAAAACAGTCAAAATTTGATCAAGCATTTGGTAGAGTAGGCAGTAAGATTTAAGATTAAAATCCTCATTTGTGGTTTCAAGATTAACAAAGAATTGGGATGGCTTGAGAATGAGAAAATCATTACATAATTTCCAATTTCCATTAACTAACTCTTTGAAGATAAAATGCCTTTTCCTTGCTTGACTGCACAAATAAGAAAAAAATTCAAATTGGCTTCCCAAAAATTCACTGCCCATGTCTGACATTGTTTAGACAGAGCAAGTATGTACAAACTAAGTGCTAGAGGGCTGGTGTCCAGCAGAACTTACCTACAACTTTCCTCAACACACCTGCCAGGAAGTTTCTAATCTGCCTAGCAAGAGCTTGATTAGCTAGTTCAGTTGTATCCAGTTAGGGCTGGAGCTAAAGTCTGCAGAACATCTGTGTTTGAAATGTATATCCTCTTATCATTTGAAATAATGTGCAGCCTCGTCTTTATAACAGCCCAGTCTATAACTTAAAGTTAAAACAGTAGGCATTTTGTTAAAACGTGTCCATGTTGTACTAATTTAATGCCTCGTTTCAGTACATAATGACCATATTGTACTAATTTATTCCCTCAATTACATTTTATTAAATAGTAACCATGTTGTACCTGATTTGTTCTGTTTGGGTAAACTGTTACCACCTTGTACAAATCAGTTTTGCAGTTGTAGATAAAATGTGGCCATATTGTATTCATTTGTTCCCTCATTTTATGTGAAATCAAGACCATGTTTTACTAACTCATTCCTTCACTTTCATTTAGTTAAATCCCAGCCACATTGTACTAATTGTTCTGTCATTTTAGTTCAATTGAGGTGACCTTGTATAAATTAGCTTCCTCAATTATGGTCATGTTAGACAAATGAATTCCCTTTCATTTTCAAAGTGTGGCCACGATTAAATATCAACATTAATTATGGAGATGAATTTGCAATTAGTGGCCATGAGCTGTCTGCTTTTTTTCCTTTTGGGGTGTATTAATCTACATTTTTCATTACTGATCAAATTACTTTTCTTCATGAAAAACCAAACTGAAGTGCACTGGATTTTGGAATACAGCTTTCCTTGCAATGTGCTTTGTCATATTCCAACATGATTTGATGAAGTAATAGGTCATCTGCATCATGCAAATAAAAAAAGTGCAAGCACATATAGTACAGTAGCAGTAATAGAATTGTATACAATTCTAAACATAGCAGGCAAAGTCTGAAAGAGTTTCTTTATTGTATTTATATTTTGTTTATATTTTAAACACATGCATTCCCACTGTAGATCCCAATCTAATCTAAAATGATGAATTCTTTCCAAGTAGAGATATCAAGTCATTTGGAATATTTATATCACAGAACTTTAGATTTTTCTAATATCAGGCAGCCCCGGTAAAAAGGTTTCTTTATTTTGTAAAACAATTAAAAAAAAAAAAAAAAAAAACAGACATTTATGTTGTTTGATGTTTAAGAACATAAAGGGGTTTTCTACCTTTATCAATTTTTTCAGTGTTTTTTGGGTAACACCTACGTTTAGGTCACAAATCAAGCTATTAACTACTGGCTTATTATCTGCCTATTATTAAGATATTAACTGTTTATTAATAGTTATAAAGTACAATCTAATTCCACATCCCTAATCCTACCCAAAACCTAAACCCAACTACTACCTTACTAACTATTAATAAACAGCTAATTAGTAGTTTAGTGGTGTCATTTAATGGTTTGTTAATACCATAAGTTGTGAAAAGGATTTTTTTATTTATTTTTTATTTGTTTTTGCTTTTCACTAAAACATACTGTGAAAATAATGTTTGACTTTAATAATATACAAACTTCATTGTTGGACACTTATCTTTATACAGTGACATTTATTTTAGTTAAAATTAATAATAATATATTTTAATCTGTGACTTGACATGATTTTCAAACATGGTTTTCACTGAAAAAAAGATATAAATTTTCTGTTTTAGGAAATATATGGATATATATATATATATATATATATATATATATAACCTTCTCTTTAATTTATAAACGCAGTGTAACACCATAAAATATGAGCTCATTTGTCCTATTTTGACTGCTACACCATCATAAATTGTGAAAATAACCCATTGAAAAAGGCTTTACGACCAAGCAGAATCCTCTGCTGGCAATTGTTTCGGTGGGACTTCAGCTAATCAGTGTTGGCTAATGCGAACAATTATTTTTCATGAGTCCAACAGCCAGCTGTGCAAGAAAACATACAATCGGATTTAAGTGAAGTCATCATTCGCTACTCTATAGTTTACAAACAGAGAAAGCATTTTACAAGTAACTTTTATTCTAAATCTTGGGCCTTATTTTTAAAACAAAAAATTACAGATAAAAAGACTGAAGCACCAAAAACTGCCCATATTAAACTAACTGAATACTTTGAATAATTTGTTGATTGTTGTTATCCATGAATTTTTAATCAAATGTAATTTTTTCACCAGAGAGGCTTGACAAATCAAAAAGCTGAAGAAAGTTAAATGTGCTGACTAGTTTGTTATTTGCCTAATGAATGACAACTGACAACAGTGACTACAGTGGTTCATTTAAAAGAGGTTCCTATTTTTTTTTCCAATGAAATAGGATGTATTAAATTTGTATTTTAAAAATAAGTATTTATTTCTATTTCTTTATTCTAAATATAAAAAAAAGTGTAATTAAAAAGTGTGGTTATGATGACAGTCCAACAAGCTATCCATCTTAAAAATAATGCTTAAAATGTCATTAAAATGCTGTATATTTAAATCTCATAATTAAAAAGTAAATGAGGCAAATAACTGCAAAAAGATCCACATTTTGAGAGAAAAAAAACACAGCTTCCACCAGGCTGGCTACGGGCCTGACTGCAGTTTATAACAAGCATGGAATAAAACAAAAATATAAAATATAACATGGAATAAAAAGAAATGTTTAACCATGTACTGCATTTTAAATGATGACAATATTAAATTTTTGTCACGTGACATTAAAAATGCAACGTCACATCAACAACCCACATGCTGTAAGTGGGCTTTAAATTTGAATTTGTGTTTTGCACATAAAAACCAGAAGTTCTTGGTACTGTGATAAAAACTCCTGTGATCTTAGCATGAGATGTTGCAAGTGCAAAAGTGCAAGATTTCTGGAGTGCAGTGGTAATTGAGAGCTGGTGGAGCGCTGACGGATCCTGACACTTCAGATCTCTGAGCATCATCAAATCTAATCTGGAGGGAGCTTCTCTGAGACCCTTATTATCAGACTCAGTGATGCTCTCCATGTCTGCGCAAGTGGCCCTTGAGGCAGAGCACCAGAGGAACAACTTTGCATTAGGACAGAACGTACAAGACTATTAGATGAACTAACTGATTTCATACACTGTAATCTTTGAAAAAGGGGTTTCTTCTAGGATTTAACTGGAACGCTCATGCATTATTCTGCTCTTCTTATCTGGGTGTATTACTCTGTTATTTCATCATATAGAGTACAGTGTATTTGAGAAAAGCATGGCGGCCTGATTCTAGAGGACATTCAGTTCCAAACCCAGCTTTAGCCATCACAGTATGATGAAACACCAATGTGTTTGGTGACATCATAAGATACAAGCCCAGATCAACATATTTAATATGCTAGAAAGTCTACAAAACAATTATAGTAGGTCTAATTCAACATCTTTAAACAGATGAAAATTAAAAGTACAATTTAAATGATTTTAGCATACAGTGACTTTTTTCTTCATTCGATTAATAAAGTTGTCTTTGGATATTTGTAAAACTCGAGTCAAAAACACATACAAATATTCCAACCAAAATCAAAATCAATCAGTGGCTCCTGACGAAAGATTGAAGTCTTTTGAAGCAAAATGATCAATCTGTGAAAATAAAACTTTTTACAACATTATTGTTGTAACCAGTCCTGAGCACATTCACAATAGTCACAAACAAGATTATCAAATGTTGGAAAGCTCTAAAAAAAAGACAACCTTCCCAATTACAAATGTGTACAATTTTACTTTTTTGTGTACAAGATAAAGCATCCAAAGCAAAAGATCCATTTCGATGAATAATAAAACACAACAGTTCACTGAAAATAAACAACATAAGCTCACAATTGAGTTTGTTAGCACACTCAGGGCTGACTACTGATGCTGTGGATTAATGGTAATAACGATGTATGTAATGATTAGTTGCACAGGTCAACAATTTTGTTTCATATCACCTCAATGTATTATAAACAACCATGAGTTTTAATTTAGTTTTGCCTGAATGTGTTCCTCAACAGTCAAAATCGTACTAGCCACTGATTAGCAGTTTATAAAACTACCAAAGACTACTATTTCAATAAATGTGACCAACATTTCTGATGTCTTGAGGGTGAGTAAATCAATATTTTTCTCATTTCAGGTGAACTGTTGCCTTCAAACCCTATCCAAGACATTTCTAGCATATTGTACAATAACATCACCGCAGTTAACGGTGTTCATAAAACGTCATGCAAAGTTAAAGCCAAACTGTTGACTGCTCTGCGGGCAAACAAATGCAGCGGCGCAGATGCCATATTTGGTCACATGACGTCATCGAGTCCGCCGTCTAAACATTTCATGAGCTCCTGCTGGACCTGAGCAGTTGATATGACATGCAAACCTTGTATGCGTTCCGATTAACTAGTCTGATCAATACGATGAAGGTGAACTGTTGAATGCCCAGCCTCTTGATCGTGAACTTGCTGTGAGAGGGTGGGTATATCAGCGTCTCGAGACAGTATTCAAAACGCTAGACAGTTACGAAATATTTCAAAGCTCAGACAAGGGCAAAGATGAGTTATTACGACACGAGCAGGCACACCTTTGACGTAATATACCTTCAATGCATCGCCGAGCCGCTCGGTTTCTTATAAGGGCTCGACTGTTGCAGTGTGCATTTAAAAATTAATCAAACGATCGCAAGAATGTAAGAATACTCACACATCGGTCGTGTTTTTAAAGAATAGCAAAAAGCAGTCTTCTGCACAAGGACGGAGAGGTAAAAATCCGTGTCCCCTTCCCCCTCCAGCATCTAATTTGAGTCTATCGGAGTCGATACCGGACTATCAGGCTCGCTGTCTCCGTCCGCGCATCCTGCCCGCTCTCCTCGCGCTCGCTACAATAACAAAAGCGGGTAGACATTGTGCGCGTGAGCGTCTCGGTCGGCTTCAACCAATGGGAGGCCGAGTCTCAAAAGGACGGTGGCGCTCAGCCAATCAGCACGCAGCTCTCACGGCTGGGCCCCCGGGCCGAGGTCTGTCTGGGTCGCGTCTGGATTGACATATCGGCGCGACTGTTTTTTTAAGGTGGCGCCGCTGAGATTACTCCGCCCCGTATCAGATCACCCCGCCCCATTCAAGCCTGCTCAGTTTCCATCGATGATTGAAATTTACAACAGCCAGTGAAGGCTACTTTTAGACTAGCGTGCATGCAATAGGCACTAGAAAACTTGTATTATATTCTTGTTATTAACCTACGGACAGCTTTAATAATCGACTAAATATACAACAGTACCTATAAGTACTAAAAGTACATACTTAACAAAAGAGATTTACTTTTAATTTTAACCTTAATTAAAAAAAAAAGTATGTGATTTTAAAATAAATTTTTTTGTTAAATTTGTAACATTATCAAATTGAAGAGATAGTTCATCAAAAAAATGACAATGCTGTCATCATTTATTCAACCTTTACTTGTTTCAAACCCTTATGGGATTTTCTTTTGTTAAACGCAAAATAAGATATTTTTAGGAATATTGAAACCTGTATCAACTGACTTCTATAGTATTTGTTTTTCCTACCATGGACGTCGATAATTTCAGCTTTCTTCAAAATATCTTGTTTAGTGTTCAACAGAATAAGAAACTCATAAAGGTTTATGACCACTTGAGAGTAAGTTACTCCTGGGGTTAGTTTATTTAATTTTTTTTTTTTTTTGGGGGGGGGGGGGGTTAACTATCCCTAAAGTAGTTAGCTCATAGGCTCACTGAACTGAATTAAAAAGATTTGAACTTCTACAGTTACATTAGTCTTTGTCTAAAAACCACTAAGATGATTTAAAGCAGATTTCTAACATGTTCATGACCTAGACATAAAATATTCTTTACCTTAACTATAAAAAACATAATGCATTGTTTGTTTTAAATCAAGTTAGCAAATACTGTCACCATCAAATATGAACTCCAACAGGCTTTTCCTCTATCCTTTAACTTGTCACAGTCATGTGATTTTCGGCAATCTGTCTTTAATCTTTCATCAACAGAGTGACTTTTAGGAGGCCCCTCATGTAATTCCAACTTCCTCCTTGATAGATTCCCTCCCTTGACCTTTCACCTGTCCTGAATCTTTTACTAACCTTCTCCCTTTCGGCTAATACCAGAGGTCACCTTCATCTGCCCTATCTCATATCCTCTTACAAAGCATCTACTATTTACATAAGACATATGCATACCTAAGATTTTACTGCTGATTCAATTATAATGCCATACAATACAAGGGAAGTTCAGTTTTCCTCTAAAGTTATTTTATATTTAAACTCTTCTATTCACTTGAACTGGGAGTTTCAAACTCTGTCTGTATTATTATGTTCTTAAATTACATGGGGAATAAAAACTAGGAGGGCGATGCAGTGGTGCAGTAGTGCTGTCGCCTATGTGTGGAGTTTGCATGTTCTCCCTACATTCGCGTGGGTTTCCTCCAGGTGCTCCGGTTTTCCCCCACAGACTAAAGACATGTGGTACACTACACTGACTGACCACTTTATTAGGTACACCTTACTAGTGCCGGGTTGAACCCCTTATTGCCTACAGAACTGCCTAAATCCTTCTTGGCATAGATTCAACAAGACACTGGCAAATTTCTGGAACATTTTGATCCATATTGACATGACAGCATCAAGCAGTTGCTGCAGATATGTCGGCTGCACATCCATGATGTGAATCTCCTGTTTCACCACATTCCAAAGGTACTCTATTGGAATAAGATCTGGTGACTGTGGAGGCCATTTGAGTAGTGAACTCATTCTCACGATGCTCAGTTGGTACTAATAGGCCCAAAGTGTGATAAGAAAATATCCGCCACACCATTACACCACCACCACCACCACCAGCCTGAACCGTTGGCATTATGGATCCATGCTTTCATGTTGTTGATGCCAAATTCTGACCCTAACCATCCAAATGTTGCAGCAGAAACTGAGACTCATCAGAAAAGGCAATGTTTTTCCAATCTTCTATTGTCCAATTTTAGTAAGCCTGTGCGAATTGTAGCCTCAGTTTCCTGTTCTGGGTGGAACCTGGTGTGCTCTTCTGCTGCAAATCATCTTGACCACGTCTACATGGTTAAATGCATTGAGTTTCTGCCATGTGATTGGTTGGTTAGAAATTTGTGTTAACGAGCAATTTGACAGGTGAACCTAATAAAGTGATTGGTGAGTGTATAACCTTAATAGTTAGAAATCGCTTAAATCAATAAACCACATTCACGAGAACACAATTAAGATAAAAATGTCTACACTTGAAATAAAAAAGTAAATAAGAAAATAAAATAATTCACATCCACAAAATTATACATTTGCTTTTTATAATCATATTTACTTATCATAAACATTAGACTGGATATTACCTCTAAATGTGCAATAAGTAATATGAATAACTGGTTGGTAAAGTTAATTAGAACAGACTTTTATGTTGGCTTGAGAAAAGTTTGCTTGAGTTTGCAACAGCTTTGTAAAGTTAATGTAAACTTAGCATGAAGTGAAAAAACAACATATTTAAAACATTGTTAGCAAATTAGCAAGTTATTAGCGCAAATAAGCATGTTGCTAGCATGTTTCTATCATGCTTTTATATGTGGCTAACAAGTTTTTGTATGTTGTTAACATGTTTTAACACATTTAGCGCATGCAGAATTCAAGTTTAATATGCTGCTAACATGCTTTTACTTGGCTAGCATGAATTCACATGACTGAAAATTGTCATCATTTTCTCTCCCTTCACTAAAAATCAAACAGGTTAGATTTTTTATTTATTTATTTCTGTTGAACAAAAAAGACGTTATTTAGAAAATTATCGAAAAATAGTAACCATTTACTATTATAGTAGGAAAAACACATACCATAAAAGTCAATGGTTTTCATATGAAAGTTAATAGCAACTAGTTTATATTCTTTAAAATAGTTTGTGTTCAACAGAAAAAAAGAAACTTGTCAAGTAGGGATGCTCCGATATATCGTCCAGAGATCGGCTGATAATCACTATGACACGATCAATACTCACCAACCTGGTCGATCGCAAAAGTTTGTTCACGAGATTAGGAAGACACACATGCTCACCCATATATTACACATCAGCAGTGTTAAAATATGTAAAGAGATAAATGATGAGTGAGCAATCGCTGGGTGACCACAGCAGGTAAAATATACTTATTTGTAATTTATAGGCCTATTTCCTTCTAGTAAAGGATATATAGGTGTGAATTTTGACTTCTCATGCATCACATATGCTCTACAAATCTTTTTTGATTGAGACATGTAGAATTGATCATCCATCATTTAAAATGCTTCCATTGTTTTTCTTACCATTTTATTTATATAATTACAATTATTTTCTGTAAAGCTGCTTCTGCCCATGACATGTTCACACTAGACTAAGAGACATGTTTAGGGGTTATATGTAACATCCTTCCTTTATTATCTTAGGTAAGGAGAGATCTACACTTAAGTAGAATACTAGTGTAAATGTGCTTTATGCATTATAAAGCTTGAAGCTTCAGAATCGGTACTCTGTATTGGTCAATCACCATCACGAGGTAACGGTACTCAGTATTGGCTACAAAAATCCTGATCGGAGCATCCATATCATAAAGGTTTGGAACCCACTTGAGGGAGAGTAAATAGTGAGTATATTTTAATTCTGGGGGAAATAAAATTCTTTGAGTGAACAATTTCAGTTTTTACCAAACAGTTTTAGAAAATGATGAGTCTGATCAGTCAGAAACATAAAACACATCAAGTTAGAAATTACTAAATGTCTGACTTAAGTGGTCATAACTTCCTCAAGCCAAAATAATCATAATATTAACAAATGTAATTACTGTTACGACCATTACTATTGTTTTTAAAACCTTACATTTGCAAGTACACAGAGCTGCAGTTTTTTAGCATCATTTACATTCAAACAGACATTTTTTTTATTCAAATAGTTACGTTCTAGAAAGTAATGAGTGCATATTTGCAAACTGCTGTCTCCCTGACTGCTCTTAAATGAAGTGACATTAATGCTAAAGCAGTGCTTTGAATAGCCCAGTGATGTGAGGAAGATTCTGCCAATCTAGAGCATTGGTCCTTGGCATTGAGCACAGTGTAATGGTGCATTCCCAAAATGTGACGTTCATGACATCATGGTTTGCTGGGAGAGCGTGGGGTAAATGCTCCAGATGCCTCAAGCATGGTCTTCCTGCGTGCCGTCTCTTTAGCCACATTATGATTCAATCTTCGCAAACGCTCCTGGAACAAAGATTTGAGATAAATGTAGCCTAAAAAAGATCTAAGGATGTGTGCATATAGAACGATGTTTACACTAACTTACCTGTGCATTTTGGAGTATGTTGTTGACAAGCACCACTCTTCTCCTGGCATTAAGAAGCTTTTTCACATATGGGTCTAAGTCTAGTGCCACCTTCTGGTGTTCATTGATCCTACACAACTCTGCAGAAGAAATGTGGTTATATGCAAAAAGCTTCTTTTTTTTAATTCAGAAAATGTTATTATTTATAACCTTAGCTCTTCTTTTTAAAGTTGCAATGGTCACGATTGTTTTACTGCCCATGACAACTCTATTAAATGTCTATAAAATGTTTTAAAGCCTAGTTATTGGGTCAGTATACTGGCCAATGCCACCAAAACAAAACAAAATCAGTAATATTTTAGCATTGGGATACTTTTGTTTTTTTTAGCAGTCAAATTTTCCCTTTTCATATTTTCATTTGGTATTTTGAGTGCATTGCTTTTTATTTTTATTTATTGTTTTATTTAATATTTATTTTACTGAAAAAACTACGTTTTAATCATTGTTTGTTTTAGCTTCATTTTAGTACATATAGAATAATATCTGGCACACTGAAGCATCATAGATTTAGGTTTATTGTTGGCATTGTTATGATTATTTATTTGTGTATTGTTGTCATTACCCATTGACAGGTTCTGAAAACTAAAAAGTATGCTAAAACACTTTTTAGTAATTAAGCTTTAAGTGTGTAAATGCATATGGTTTGTCTAATGTAATTGTAATGACCATAAATAAAAATTAAATTAATAAATTGATTAAAATACAGCAAAATAGTTTGTACATCCAAACAGACGTCAGCATTTCATCATTATACTGTACTAAAATATATACATTTGCATTGTACAGTACTTTATTGTTGTAATTAACTTAGTTAACTTACATATAAACAGATAGTTCACATTTGCATGTCAATTTTAGGCACTTTTTACATGTAAATAAGAATGTCATACCAACTTACCAGATGCTAAATTATCAATGTGTTCCCTGAGTTCCACTTGGCTTTCTCTGTAAATATAGATTTACAGTATAGTCAACAATATAACAGTCTATTTTTGCACGATTTAAAGTGACTAAAAATAAAAAATATCTTAACTGCAAAAAAAAAAAAAAAAAATCGTACAACAGTGCGAAAGGGAAAAAAATGAACCAACATACACTACAACGAGCATCTCTTGAGTCACAAGACCTGTCATGTTGACAGTCATTAGCATGCTAACAAACAAAACCGCACATTCTAAATAAGACATTTCTTTAAAACACGCTTGTTCCAAAAAAATGTACTACCTGACTGAGTGCACGTGTAAGTCAAGCTGCTGTACAGCGGGTCTCAAGAGGTCCAGCAAACCCTCAGCGAGAGCATCTTTCCCTGATGGGGTTTCAACCACTGCTAATGCTGCCATCTTTACTGAGCGCTGACTTGACAACGCTGGAGTCACTGCGCGGATGTTAGGGCATATACATAAAAATAGCCCAAGCTCAAGATCAGTGCGATGACTTGTAAATCAGCGAATCTCCAAATTTGCCTACATACTGCGTCACGCGCACGGCTATGTTCCAATGCTCTAGTAATACTAGCGTGCTGCTTACTATATGACGTAGTATGTGAAACTAGTAAACGGAATGTGAATGGTAATCATGTGTAGTGCATTACTATGGCATGTTGTAAAGAATAGTACTGTGTATTTTACTGTCTATTTATACTTAATAAATAATGTTGAGAAGTTTTTAAAATTCTGTCCAGGCAGGGAGCCTTTGGGGCCACTAGTAGTGCTAGGGGTCTGTTGAAAAAGTGTAAAAAAAAAAAAAAAACAGCATGAACAATATACAAATAAATTGTTATTAATAAAATACAATGAACTATATAAATAATCATTTAAGCTACTAATATATATAAATCTAAATAAGTGCAATAAAGTAAATAAAAAAATGACAAAAACCCATACCAAAATAATCATAAATAATAATAACAATAATAATAATAATGCTAACTTTTAATAAACAACTTATCAATGTGGAAGCCCATTTCATCATATAATAAAAAAGCTTAACTTAAACGTAATCATTATTAATTGATAACTCATTTGTCATTAAAATAATTATATAAAAATTATTATTAAACATAAAACAAGAGTTTTTAATTCAAAATTATTAGTAAAATAAAATAATGATTCACTAAAAACTACTAAACTACTACTTACTAAATTAAAATAAATACGTAATATAACATATTACATTTATATATCTTCTACCTACAATTTGCACAAACCCTAGTAGGCCTACTAGTACTGTAGTCTGGTATTTGGCACACGACCTTTGCCTCTTAAATCTCGCGATATCTGACGTAGTAAATAGTGCTCCATTTTCCGTGCTCGCGCAGTTGTTAGCACCATTTTGTGATGAATGAGGGTAGGGTTCGAAGGTAGAGTTGCGGATTAAAGTAGATTGGTGTTTAACAATCTTAGGGATTTATCATTTATTTTAGTTCTTAAATACATTTAGAAGGGGGCGATAGTTGTACAATATTCGGGCGTGAAATAGAGAAGTTTTGGATAGTGATTTTGTCGAGTCAGTCATCTGCTCCAGCGCTGTGCTAGCTAACATTATACGGCTAACAGATCTGCCCTGACTCAACTACACGGGTCAATTACAGAAAAGGTAAGAGTTTAACATTTCTCTAATACCAATAAACATCATGTTTAGTGGATTTATATATGAGTAGCAGTAATTTTGTGTGGATTACGGTGATATTAAAGGTCTAAGTTAGTGTAGTGAAAAAATCTGTTAAACCCTTTCGTTTTTGTAAACATTTTTGAGCATTTGTTTCTGGCTGATTTAAAAATAAAACAACCAAACAAAAAAGCTAAATACGAAAACAAAAATATTTTACAGTTCAACATTTAACTGCAGATTGTGTTGTTTTGTGTATTATTAAATATTAATCATAGATACGATTAATAATCAAGTTACTGCTGTAATATTATATAACTAGCATTTATTTAATTGTTTCTGACCGTTTAAAATCTTTCTTTAGACTGAAACATGCGGTCTATTGAGATATTTATGATATCGCAGCTGTGCTGTAATTCCTGTAAAACGAAACCTGGCACTCTCCACTGGGAGAGGAAGCTTCATAATAGGTTTTAATGCCTCTTTTCTGTAGCAGTGCTATTTCTGATTTTAAAAAGAATTTATTGAATTTTGAGTTTTATGTTTTTTACGATTAAAAATATATACGATCAGGAAAAGTCAGTAAAACGTGGTACTGACAGTTAAGTTGTTAAAATGCGTTATATCTTTTTATATCTGACATCAAGTCTTGCTATTGATTTGCTTGAGTCAGTTTTGTTATACTTTAACTAAATATAATAATGATCATTTACATCCATCTTTCCTTCTACAGGAGAGATCACTGCAAGCCTGAAGAAACATGAGCGCCCCTTCTTCTCAAAAAGTCGTGCTGAAAAGCACCACCAAGGTGTCCCTGAATGAGCGGTGAGGCGCTACGCATCCTGAAAGCATTATCTCAAGGCCGGGGGATAATCATACAGAGATATCTAAGGCCCTAAGACACGTGTACTATGGAGGTCATTGAGGGGGAGACATCAAAGCTGACATGGACGCTAAACTGCCCACACGGTGTGCTCCGCTTGCGCAACATGACAGCGGTTACTTGACCCAATTCATAAATCTATTTAGAAGTAATAATATGCCATGTGAGCGTCTTTTGCATGAGCGGCGCACACCCGGAGGTGAGAGGGTAATAATGGTGAGGTAAGCTGAAGAATGCATCCTCAGCCATGGGAATGAGTTCATAATGAAAGATGGTCTGTGTGCCATCCATATTGTTTGCCCTCTCTCATGCAAAAACACTCTCTCTCTTCAGAGATATTTTCTGCTGCACCTCTGTTTCTCTCTATCTTTCTGTCTACAGAAAAAGGTGCCTAGTCCGTACCTTGACGTGACCTGTTGCTCAACCTTCTCACAAGGAGTGTCTTACAGAACAGCTTATCGGGTCATGGTCTTGGTTGTAAGTGGCTGGGTTGCCGGACACCCCTGTAGTCCTGGGCTAACTCACCGTGTGGTGTCTCGGACATCACAATTGGTTGATGGTGGCCTGTAAGTGGCGCTCACTCTGATAGAAGTCTGCCTGTTTCTTTTCTATCTCTGGTTGTATCTACATTAGTTCGAATACATTTAGAGGTGTAATTTTTAATAGAACACTCTCTCCATCTACTAGCGTTTTAGTTTTTTATTTATTTTTTTACACGAGTAGCTTGTCCACACTGAAAATTAAAACCCTTAAATTTGTAGCCCTTAATGGAGTATATGCACAGCTAGTACTTTTCAGCCAATGATAAACTTCCGGCAAAAGCTTAATATTTCTGTTTTCAATTTCATAGGGTTTCTTGTACAGCATCGATGTGGTAATATAATCACAATACACTCAGTTAAATAGACTTAAGCATTCAATTAGTTGATTTTAGCTTAAATCAAGATAAAAGACTGTGTAACCTCTGGCTCTGTCAGAATCGGCAGCAAGCAGAGAAACTCCATTAAAAATACTGGAGTAAAATAAACTGTCATATTTTAAAGACATAGCGGATTCAAACTGAATTTAATGCAGTGCTTTTTGTCTGGTCTGAGACCCACTTTATATTGTAAATCTATCAGGCAGTAAAGATCACAGATTTGTAAAGAAATTAGACCTTAAACGAGGCAATTGTATAATATTAAAACAGTTCACCGAAAGCGATGAGAGTAGCTGGCTGAAATTAAAAAATAATAAAACCCATTTTTTGTAAATCTTTGAGTTGCTTGCAGTATTCTATTGAAAACTAAATAAGATAATTTGACAACAGCTCAATACTTCCAACCACTGAACTCATTGGTTACAAAAACAAATACTATTAAAATCAATGGTTACAGGTTTCTAACATTCCTCAGAATATATTCTATTGTGTTCAAAAGAAGAAAGTCAAAACACTTTTGGAAACAATTAATGATTAAGAGAGTAAATGATTGTTTTGGAGCAATAGACCTATACTTCTGGTAATAAGGAGTTTAAATAAAAATGATAACTATGGATAAAAGGTCAACCAGGTTGTTATGATGCCTGAGAAAGGCATATTTTATTTTTTACCTTTACAATATACAGAATGAAATCAATGCACAAAAGCATTACTTGCTACCCACCCTTCCGACATGCTCCCCTATTTTTTAGACAAACTTATTGAACTTATTGTGATGCATTGAGCTTTAACGAAAAAAAGAAAAGAAAAATTGAGACCATTTTATTAATAAAAAGTCTTATCACTTACTACTATATCAATTTCACACTTGATCACTATTTTGAGTAGTGTCTGAATTACAACTGACCTAATGTTTTAACGCATCTTAGCATTTTACAGCAATGTTTTGCGAGAGAGTAGTATAAAGATGGTACAAAGTAGCACTTATTTTTAACACTATTAAATGCTACAAGATCCTCTAAATTAAATCATATTGGTCTGTAATATGAATGTGTGTTGGATTTTAGTCTTGACAGACATCGATCAAGCCATGTAGCCTATTGCATTAGCTGCCTCTTGTGGCATTGACAGATTGATGCTTATTTCAACTCTTCATTCTATAATTTCAGTGTTTAGGATCTTTAAAAGGGTTCTATTCCGGACTAATGTGGATGTAGCCTCTATCGCTCTTCTGTCATCCCTCTTTGCTTAAAACCATATTCCAAGCATTCAGTTTAACCCAAACTGCTGATTTGTTGGGGTGTCTCTACATGTAACAGAGAGAGAGAGTAAATGACAGCACATGTGGTCTATTCAGGCCATTACTAGATTGCTACAGGATCCACTGTAGCTGCGTCCATGCTGTGCGAAATGATTTGATTTGGAACCATCCTTTCCTCGTATCCCCCTTTCCCTCTTCCTTCTTTCTGTCTCTCTCTGTCTACCCTCCTCCTCCTGTTGTGTCCTAAAAGCTTTACAAACATGCTGAAGAACAAGCAGCCGACAGTGAGTAGCATCCGGGCGACCATGCAGCAACAGCACATGGCCAGTGCACACAACCGCCTCCTTGCTCAGCAGATGGAGAACAGGCCCTCTGTGCAGGCTGCACTTCATCACAAACAGGTAAGAGGACAAAAAGTGCAAACCACCGGAAATGGTAGAGATGTCAATGTCATGGTACACAAAGAAAAGTGTTGAATTTACAGAAATGTTATGATAGTTGTATTTATTCTGTTCTTGGTTTTGGTTTAATATAAAGGTTTGTGTACATTTTTGCTTTTGCTTACCATCAGTATTTTGACACCAATGAAACCAGCAGCTCTACATTTCTCTTGCTCTGTGTATCATTCTTCGTTATTAGCAAGGTGTAGCTGCCTAGACCATTTTATGCCAACAAGTCATGTTTTACTGTTTATTCAGCAGTTCCACTAGTGTGAAAAAAAGCAACAAACTCATTGGTTGACCTATTTTTAATGCTGCGCATCAAAAAGAAAGAAAAAAAAACGTTCATGCATATGTGTAGTCATTATAAGTTTTCCTGAATTATTAGCTCGTTTGTATGTTTTTTTGCCACATACAACGACGACAAGCTGAAAAAAAAAACGTTGCTGTCACTAAGTTTTATTTATGGAGAATTCCATAAATATTCCAAAGCACTACAGTGTTTGAGTGTTCTGTGTTTGTCTGAGGTAATTAGTCTACCAAAAATATATATATATGTAATGTAATGTGTAGTTGTATCGCGCATTTATTGTGTATGGCCGTACACCCAAAGCACTTCACAATCATTAGGGGGATCTCTCCACACCACCACCAGTGTGCAGCATCCACTTGGATGATGCGACGGCAGCCACAGGACAACGGCGCCAGTGCGGTCACCACATACCAGTTATTGGTGGAGTGAAGAGACAGTGATAGAGCCAATTCAGTAGATGGGGATGATTGGGAGGCCATGATCGTAAGGGCCGATTGAGGAACTTTGGCCAGGACAACGTGGTTACACCCCTGCTCTTTACGAGAAGTGCCATGGGATTTTTAATGACCACAGAGAGTCAGGACCTCGGTTTAACGTCTCATCCGAAAGACAGTGCCCACTGACAGTGTTGTGTCCCCTTCACTTTTACTATGGCATTAGGACTCACACAGACCACAGGTTGAGCGCCCCCTGCTGGCCTCACTAACACCACTTCCAACAGGAACCTAGTTTTCCCTAGTGGTCTCTCATTCAGGTACTGACCAGGCTCAGCCCTGCTTAGCTTCAGTGAGTAACCGGTCTTGGGCTGCAGGGTGATATGGCTCCATCCAAGCTGAATTTCATCAGTCAGTTCTTATCACGTGACTCGTGGTGTGCTCACTGCATTGATTCAACTGAGTGCGTCTGGAAGAAGAGAGCTTCACGCCCCTTGGGCGTGCAAGCTGAGCAACTTCATTGGAAATAACGTGATGTGCGAATGACCCCTGAAAGGCTGCCGTCATTTGCAATCTTTAGCAGTTGATCTCCTTGCACAGACATGGTAGATTCACCTGATTTGATGACAAATAGGTTGTGGATTCATTCCTTGGCATATCATAGTCCTTCTGTTGGCATTTTCCACTCAGTAAAGAAACTTTCCAAAGACGTGTTTCTTACTCATTTTGCTGCTTGTGGGTTAAATTTGGGCGCTCAAGTGACTAAGATGTAAGCGAGAGAACACAGTCATTTTTCTAAATAAAACATAGTCTAGACTCAGATAATAAATAAAATGGAAATAGTTAATGATTGCGGCCTGGTACCAATAGATCCACTGGCCACTACTGGTCCACAGCCCTGTGATTGAGAACTGCTGTAGACAATAGAAAACAAATATTGGTGCTAATAATATACACCTCAAAATGGTTAAAAATATTAAAAATAATTTTATTCTAGCCAAAATAAAATAAGACTTTCTCCACAAGAAAAAAATATTATAGGAAATACTGTGGAAAAATCCCTTGCTTGGTTAAACATCATTTGGGAAATGTTTGAAAAAGAAAAAAAAATCACAGGAGGGCTAATAATTTTGACTTCAGCTATAATTTTTTCTGTATCCTTTAATACATTTTATATTAATACAATATCAATATGAATTATTATTTGTTGCTTGCTTAGCGTTTTTTACAAAGTCCGCACAGAGATGCAATATTTTTTATATCCCACTGTAGAGCCTGAAGCAGCGTCTTGGAAAGAGCAACATCCAGGCCAGACTGGGTCGACCCATTGGCTCCTTGATGCAGGGTGGTGGAAGAGGACGAGGATTACGAGGAAGAGCTAGAGGTGGTACCATGAGAGGAGCACTCTCGTTTAGAGGTGAAAGTCTTTTCATGACCCTAATGTTTTTTTTTTTCTTTTGTGACTGCTGTCTTGCGTTCACTTAAAAGCCACAGATCCTCATTATACATGTATGTAGACTCACTGAAGTTTTAAATTCAGAGATGAATTTGTCTTTCCTTCACTGGAAGTGCAGTGTCAGCTTTGTAATCGTTCTTTGTTTTACAGTTAACTCTTTTAAGACGCTGTCACACTTGAGCCTGTTTTATACTGCAGGGTCAAGTTGTGTACCCAACCATGCACTTTGCCACCGCTGTTTTAAACATATTTCTGTTTTTTGTCTGTGCTGCTCTAGCAATAACAATTCAAATACACTAGCTGTCAGTGGGTTTCGCTGTCAATTTTTTGTTTTGAGATTACACCAAAAATGCTTGTGGTTGTACTGTAGCAGAAAGTCAAAGCCAGACTCATCCATAGATAAGAGACGTTTCTGTGAACGTTCAACTACTTTATTCATAAAATAAATTAGGGCTGCACGATATTGGAAAAAATTGACATTGCGATATTTTTTTCCCCTGCGATTATATATTGCGATATTTTTTATATATATATATTTACTTAAAACTAGGGCTGTGACGGTCACCATGACAACCGCGTCACTGCGGTGGTTATTGCCACCTCGGTTGTGTATTGCCACCGGCCGTAGTACGTGAAGTCACGCACTTTAAAACACAAATTACTGTTATGTTGCCAAGTATTACATATCTGTTAGAATATAACATTAGGCGCGATTCAGCAAGTTCAAGTTCAACCATGAATCTTGTTAGAAAACGAACTCTTACATCTGGGAACATTTTGGATTCGTGCCGACCGAGAAAGGTGGACGAATTGATTTAGATTAAGCTTTTTGTATGGGGGTTTTTAAGTGTTAAAGTGTGTTTTAATATTCACTGCTGAGAGTCCAAACACTGAGGAGCAAATCCATCGATACGCAGATCCACGGGTCCTGAACCATGCAAGCTAGTGGCGATTGACGGCGAGGGAAAAAAAGCCATGTAGGCTTAATCAACTCCTGTCTTCTAAACGCAGAAGCCCAGCTCAGCCAGGCATGGCAGAGGCATTTGCAAAAATGGCCAGATACAAAAGAGAAAGTGATAAATGGAAGACATTGACGAGAAATTGAGCATAGGCTATTTGGTAACTACTTAAGAACGCGCCGCTCCGCAGCGTAGAGAAACCTGCGTTGCGAGAAATGCGGGCGGCGGAACAGAAACAAGAAGCCCTCTCTCGCATGGTTGTGAAAAAGTAGCCTGTCTGTGCATTATCGCTACAAGCACACCGTCTGACAGTGTATTGCTGGAAACATTATAACTCCATTCTTCACTTAAACCGGACAAAGTCAACATGTTAGTTTTTCTGGCAAATAATTTAAAATATGACTACAAAAGGTGGAGAGAAACTACGCTGACTTATATTGTTTCTAGGTTAATATTTTCTTTTTACTTATAATTATTAATATTTATATTATTATTACACTGATTAGTAAAGTGCCATTTAGACTATTTGTTAAGTTCTTAAAAATGTAACGTTTAATTGTTATTATTATACAGTTTCAAGCAGTTAAAGTAATTTAATATTTAACTACAATATTTATAAACAGTTTTGTGTTTTATTAACGAAAGTTCAAAAATAAACATGTACGTTTATACGGATGTTTTATTTATTAATATTAAATTCGGTTATTCCTTAATTTTTACATAAAAGGTAAATTAACTTAAGTAGGCTACATTGTTTGTTGATGTACGAGATCGAGGAACATGTTTGCCAGTAAATAATGTTCGCACCACTTAAAAAACAAAACAAATGAATAACTTGCGAAAAGGATGCAATAAAAAATGCAAGCGCTTAATCATTCTTCACAATCGGATTCGTACGTGCAATAAGCCGAGGCTATATTGCGCCGACAAGAACAAGCCCTAAAACTAAGTCTAGAGAGAGAATTAATACTAGTTAATATTAATGATTATAAACACGAACTGCGTTGTATGATAAACGCCTCACAATGATGTCGTGATCTTTGCTGAAGAACTGATATGTTATCGCCGTCTCCCCAGCCAGGTTTTCATCTGCTTATTTCCCCTTCTTCTGGATACAAACAATAAAGTATCAGCGCCAGACCAGTGGTTTAAATTATATTTTACTCTCCTGATTTCTTTTCTTTTCATTAAAAAATAATTAAATGTTTAAAGTTTTGTATTGCATAGCCTATATATTTTTAAAGATTATCATTCAGCCTACCTGCAGCGCATGAGGTTGTGTGCTGGGCAAATCCCCTTTACTCATGCTACCCATTTCATTTATGACACTGTAAACTTGACTTGGCAGGCTGATCATCTTTAAACTCAAAAGGTGTTTTTAACTTGAGACTGCATGCTTCTGCATAATGTGATGTTTCTTATTACAACTGTTAGCGGTGTCAAAATGAAAGCAAACATTAAAAAGGGTTTTGTTTTATCAATTGTATAGTTTAGTTTTAATAATAGCTAATGTATATAATAAATTATAATATCGATTATTGTGTAGACTACAGTGTTCAACAAAACAATTTTATTAGGTTACTCTAATAGACCAAATCCCTAACTGAAAAACGAATGTGAAAATGACAGGCAGTTGCGTCTTTGCTAAAATTAATTTAACAACAAATTTCTTTTGCTTTTTTCCCCTTTAGAGATCAAAAGAGCTGTATTTAAAGAATTATTTCACTAAAACATGAATTGAATGCCCAGTTCTTTGCCGTGTGAGTTTAGTGCGCCTCCGCCGTGTCTGCGTTTTTAAGGTTACAGGTGCACCCTGACCTGACGCGGGGACCAGATCTCTGTATTGCTTTAATTTCTCAATTTTCATAACTGCATTGCATTTTCATATGGTAAAATATCAAAATTTATGCTCTGAAAGTAGTGGGAATGACGGGAGTGTTAGTAATTAATAACAGAAAGAACTTTCACTTTTGAGTGAACTTCTGTCACGTGTTATTTTAGTATGATAAAATAAACAAAAATAGTAATGCAGAAAAGTATTTTTCGCTCTGCCAAGCCTTCTCTGTTGCTGTACAGAGAAGCAGCCTGCTCCGTCTCCTTACCCCGGCCCCACCCCGCCCACCGACTCCTGAACGTCTCACTCACTAACTCACTCACTCATGCGGGCATGCAGTGCGGTCTCATGAGGAAACGCAGCTTTTTGATATAATGTTTTTCTTGTTCCCAAATACAAATAATTTATCAAGTATTGTTTGACATAAGTATTCGTAAAAACACGCTATTCCTGCTTTTCCGAATACCGTATTCCGGTTCGGCTCCACCCATAATATATATATAATTTATTTATTATTATTTTTTTTTTGCATCGCACCCTCCTGCGATGTGACTATCGCGGATGCGCACATCGTGATTTCGATGCTGAAACGATATATCGTGCAGCCCTAAAATAAATGCAACAAAATGGGTCAGGCAATAGCAAAGTATGTGCAAAGGCTACACCAAACACTAGACCGGTGCCCCTCACAAACTGCTTTCAGGGCTTACTCGCACTATGCCATCCGTACCGTGCCCAGGCCCGTTTCCCGGATCAGTTGAGAAGTGTGAGTGCACTGAATCGGGCTCAAGCACGGTTCACTTGGCCGGCCCTGGCCCGGTTGGAAGAGGTGTGCCTGAGCGCGGTTCACTTGGGCTTTGGCGCGGTACGCTTGTGTGTGAGTGCAAAATGCGCCAAAGGCTGAAACTGAAAGCGAGACATGACTTTTACGGGGCTGTTTCATATGGATTTATTAATAATTCTTACTGTTCAGTGAACGCAAACTGCCGTAGTCTATTAAAGACGAGAACTCCTCACAGCATGACAGATGCGCGGCTTCAGCAGACCTCCTCATTCCTGCAGCACGAGGGCTTTATGATTGTTTATGAGCGCCAAAAGTGGCGGATCTGTTCGGCGAAATATCTGACTGTGTGTCCCCGCATCCCTAAGGACTGTTTGGCGAAAAATTTGATGGCATATCAAACGACTGAAACGATATAACTAGAGAAATCTATACTGTGCTGCTGAGTGAGAGAGCGCTTCTCACTGAATAGCCCAGCAGCGATGACGTAAGCGTGCCGAAGCCCGTTTGTGGTGTGAGCGCGGGCCGTCGGGGGAGACGGAAGGGGGAACAAGCGTGCTTTGGCCCGGTTCAAGGCAACTGTACCTAGTGTGAGTACGGCCTTAGACCAAACACAGACCATTGAGCACACACAGTAATTTTACTTTTCACGCTTTGACACGCTGTGATTGATTGCACCTGGTGTGAATAGCTACATTTGGGAACTTTTGTTTTGATTTCAAGAGCATTGTTGTGTCGTACTTTTGTGCCATTTAATCACATTTAGTGTGAATGTTTAACAGATGTTTAGCACTCACCCACTGCTGACTCATTTGAATCTGCAGTTTTATGGCTGTGAGTAGACCCCTTATGTGCTTGTAACTCCAGCACCTGTGCTAACGGGAGACAGCTGAGTAATGCTTTAAGCTGCAGCAGTTTAAATATGGGGTCTCTGAATCTTTATTTATTTGTATATTTATCTGTTTAACAACATTCAGAATATAATATTCTTTTATTGTTTTTCCTTAAAGGGATACTTTACCGAAAATTTTAATTAGATCCTTAATAACCCACTCTACACTTGTTCAAAACTAATAGTTCCATTGTTCCTCAAATGCATGTCGATGGCTACTGGTTTACAACATTGTGCAATATACCTTTTTATAGAAGTTTAGGACCACTTGAGTTTGATTCAGTGTTAAGAGTTTTTTAATTCTTGGGTAAACTATCTAGAGATGAATTGATTCACCCACTAGCATTTCGGAAGTATTCTTATACATTGAGTGATCGGTTTGACTCCTGTTGCATGCCTTGTGCGTAGTCATCCATTTATACTTGTGCGTGCTGTTTGTGTTGCTCTGCAATGGCACTTCTGAAACACTAGGGGGCAGTAGGTTTTTATGTCTCT